GGGATATATTATATATAATTATATATATATATATATATATATATATATATGAATATGAAGCCGCCCTTTTTCCAGGGCAGCGCGTATCTGAAAGTGCTTTCGCAGGTGCTGATCTTCAAAATGATCGTCAAGTTCATCGCGGTGATCTGCCTTCTTCTGTTCCTGCCGAAGTTCAAGCAGCCAAGGCCGTCGGCGGCGGACAGCGGGACGACGAAGAAAGGAGGCCGCTGCGTAGCCTCACGGACGCAGGTGCTCACCCACTCACGCACTGCCACTCTTTCCTCCGATCCCCCGTTTACTGCTCCCATTGCCGCTCCCTCGCCCTCCAGGCATTTCGCCTCTAACTCGCCCTTCTTATTCGGCTACGCCTCTTAGCTCTACTCGCCCTCGTTCTGGTCATCCTTGTATCGCGTTCTTTACTCGCCCTCTCTGTCATTCGGCGTCTTACTCGCCCTCTCTGTCTATTCGCTCTTACTCGCCCTCTCTGTATTCGCGTCTACTCGCCCTCTCTCATTCGCGTCTTCTCGCCCTCTCTGTCATTCGCGTCTTACCTCCGCCCTCTCTGTCATTCGCGGTCTTACTCGCCCTCTCTGTCATTCGCCGTCTTACTCGCCCTCTCTGTCAGTTATCGCCCTCCTGCATTCTTACCCCCGTCATCGCGTTCCCCTCTCTGTCTTCGCGTCTTACTCCCCTCTCTGTCATTCCGCGTCTTACTTCGCCTCTCTGTCATTCGCGTCTTACACGCCCTCTTCTGCCATTCGCGTCTTACCGCCCTCTCTCGTCGATTCGCGTCTTTACTCGCCCTCTCTGTCATTTCGCGTCTTACTCGCCGTCTCTGTCATTCGCGTCTTACTCGCCCTCTCTTTCCATTCGCGTTCTACCGCTCCTCTCTGTCATTCGCGTCTTACTCGCCCCTCTTCATTCGCTTCTTTACTCGCCCTCTCTGTCATTCGCGTTTCTTACTCCCCTCTCTGTCATTCCGCGTCTTACTCGCCCTCTTCTGTCATTCGCGTCTTACTCGGCCCTCTCTGTCATTCGCGTCTTACTCGCCCTCTCTGTCATTTCGCGTCTACTCGCCCTCTCTGTCATTCGCGTTTACTTCTGTTTACTCTTACGCCCTCTCTGTCATTTCGCGGTCTTTACTCGCCCTCTTCTGTCATTCGCGTCTTACTCGCCCTCTCTGTCATTCGCGTCTTACTCGCCCTCTCTGTCATTCGCGTCTTTACTCGCCCTCTCTGTCCATTCGCGTCTTACTCGCCCTCTCTGTTATTCGCGTCTTACTCGCCCTCTCTGTCATTCGACGTCTTACTCCCCTCTCTGGTCATTCGCGCTTTACTCGCCCTCTCTGTCATTCGCGTCTTACTCGCCCTCCTCTTTTATTCGCGTCTGTCGCCCTCTCTGTCATTTCCGTCTTACTCGCCCTCTCTGTCATTCGGTTGTCTTACTCGCCCTCTCTGTCATTCGCGTCTTACTCGCCCTCTCTGTCATTCGGCTTAACCCTACTCGTATACGCGCATTCCCTCTTCATTCGCGTCTTACTCGCCCTCTCTGTCATTCGCGTTTAACTCGCTAGCCTCTTGTCATTCCGCGCTTACTCGCCCTCTCTGTCATTCGCGTCTTACTCGCCCCTCTCTGTCATTCGCGTCTTACTCCGCCCTCTACTGTCATTTCGGCGTCTTACTTCGTCCCTCTCTGTCAGTCGCGTCTTACTCGCCCTCTCTGTCATTCTGCGTCTATACTCGCCCTCCTCTGTCATCGCGTCTTACTCGCCCTCTCTGTCATTCGCGTCTTACTCGCCCTCTCTGTCATTCGGTCTTACTCGCCCTCTCTGTCATTCGCGTCTACTCGCCGTCGCTTCCCTCTGCCCTCGTCATTCGCGTACTTACTCGCCCTCTCTTCATTCGCTCTTACTCGCCCCTCTCGTCATTCCGCGTCTTACCGCCCTCTCTGTCCATTCCGCTTCTTCACTGCCCCTTCTCTGTCCATTTCGCGTCTTATCGCCCTCTCTGTCAATTCGCGTCTTACTCGCCCTCTCTGTCATCGCGGTCTTTACTCTGCCCTCTCTTCCATTCGCGTCTTACTCGCCCTCCTCTGTTCATTCGCGTCTTACTCCCCTCTCTGTCATTCGCGTCTTACTCAGCCTCCTATTCCTCTTACTGCTCTCGTACTATCTCTCGCTTCTTTACTCGCCCTCTCTGTCATTCGCTCTTACTTCCGCCCTCTCTTCATTCGCGTTCTATACTCGCCCTCTCTGTCGATCGCGTCTTACTCGCCCTCTCTGTCATTGCGCGATCTCTGCACACCCAGCCTCTCTGTCATTCTCTCTCTCTCTCGCTCTGGTCTCTCGCTCTGTCTCTCAGCTCTGCTCTCTCGGCTTCTGTCTCTCGCTCCGTCTCTCAGCTCTGTCCTCTCGCCTCTGTCTCTCGCTCTGTCCTCTCGCTCTGGTCTCTCGCTCTGTCTTCTCGCTCTGTCTTCTTCGCTCTGTTCTCTCGCTCTGCTCTCTAGCTCTGTCTCTCGCTCATGTTCTCTCGCTCTTGTCTCTCGCCTCTGTCTCTCGGCTTCTGTTCTCTCGCTCTGCTCTCGCTCTATCTCTCGCTTACTATCTCTCGCTCTGTCTCTGCTCATGTCGTCTCGCCTCTATCTCTCGCTCTATCTCTCGCTCTGTTCTCTCGCTCTGTCTCTCGCTCTATCTCTCGCTCTATCTCTCGCTCTGTCCTCGCTCTGTCTCTTCGCTCTGTCTCTTCTCTCTGTCTCTCCTCTTCTGTCTCTCTCTCTCTGTCTCTCTCTCTGGTCTCTCTTCTCTGTCTCTCTCTCTGTCTCTCTCTGTTCTCTCTCTGTCGCTCTCTGTCTCTCTCTCTGTCTCTCTCTGTCTCTCTCTCTTGTCTCTCTCTTGTCTCTTCTCTCTCTGTCTCTCAAGCCTCCTTTCTAGTCTCTCGCTGTCTCTCTCTTCCTCTGGGTCTCTCCATCTCATGGGTCCTCCTCTCTCTGTCTCTCTTCTGTCTCATTCTCTCTTGTCTTCTCTCTGTCGGCTCTCTCTGTCGCTCTCTCTGTCTCTCTTCTCTGGTCTCTCTCTCTGTCTCTCTCTCTGTTCTCTCTCTCTGTCTCATCTGCTGTCTCTCTCTCTCTGTCTCTCTTCTCTGTCTCTCTCTCTTCTCTCTCTCTGTCTCTCTCTCTGTCTCTCTTCTGTCTCTCTGTCCTCTCTGTCTCTCTCTCTGTCTCTCTTCTCTTGTCTCTCTCTCTGTCTCATCTCTCTGTTCTCTCTCTCTGTCTCTCTCTCTGTCTCCTCTCTGGTCTCTCTCCTCTGTCTCTCTCTCTGTCTCTCTTTCTGTCTCTTCTCTGTCTCTCTCCTCTGTCTCTCCTCTCTGTCTTCGGTCTCTGTCTCCTCTCTCTGTCTCTCTCTCTGTCTCTCTCTCTGTCTCTCTCTCTGTCTCTCTCTGTCTCTCTCTAACTGTCTTCTCTCTGTCTCTCTCCTCTGTCTCTCGTCTGTTCTCTCTCTCTTGTCTCTCTCTGTCTCCTCTCTCTCTGTCTCTCTCTGTCTCTTCTCTGTCTCCTCTGTCTCTCTCTCATGTCTCTCTCCTGTCTCTCTCTTCTCTCTCTCTGTTACCTCTCTCTCTGTCTCTCTCCTGTCTCTCTCTCTGTCTTCTCTTTCTCTCTCTCTGTCTCTCTCTTCTGTCTCTCTCTCTGTCCTCTTCTCTCTCTGGCTCTCTCTCTTCTGTCTCTCTCTGTCTCTCTCTCTGCTCTCTCTCCTGTCTCTCTCTCTGTCTTCTCTCTCTGCTCTCCCTCTCCTAGTCTCTCTCTCTGTCTCTCTCTCTGTCAACTCTCTCTGTCTCTCTCTCTGGTCTCTCTCTGTCTCTCTTCTGTTCTCTCTCTCTGTCTCTCTCTTGTCTCTCTCTGTCTCTCTCTCTCTGTCTCTCTCTCTGTCTCTCTCTCGGTCTCTCTCTCTCTGTCTTCTCTCTCCTCTGTCTCCTCTCTCTCTCTTCGTCTCTCTCTCTCTGTCTCTCTCTCTCTGTCTCTCTCTCTGTCTCTCTCTTCTCTCTCTCTGTCTCTCTCTGTCTCTCTCTCTGTCTCCTCCTGTCTCTCTCTGTCTCTCTCTCTGTCTCTCTCTCTCTGTCTCTCTCTCTCTGTTCTCTCTCTTCTCTCTGTCTCTCTCTGTCTCTCTCTTCTCTCTCTGTCTCTCCTCTGTCTCTCTCTCTCTGTCTCTCTCTCTTGTCTGCTCTCTCTCTCTCTCTGTCTCTTCTCTCTAGTCTCATCTCTCTGTCCTACTCTCTCTCCTTCTGTCTCCTCCTCTTCTGTCTCTCTCTCTCTCTCTGTTCTCCTTACTCTGTTCTCTCTCTCTGTCTTCTCTCTCTCTGTCTCTCTCTCTCTCGGTCTCTCTCTCTCTCTCTCTCTCTGTCTCTCTCTCTCTGTCTCTCCCTGTCTCTCATTCTGCTCACTCATCTACCCTTTTGTTCACCCTCTTTTCTTAATATCTGGAGAAAAGTACATTTTATTGTTAGCAGATGAGGAGAGTTAAGTGAAGCACTCACTCTATCGGGAGATAATATTTCTCCCTGGATTTAAATATTGTCTCCCTTGATTTCATTACACAATGACAACAAACAACTTACATGAGTAAAAATTATGTATTGAAAAAAAACCAGTGATTTTCACTTCATGGCTTCCTTAACGGAATACGAAAACAAGACATTCTCACTACAATTTACTATTTCTTCTATTTCATCTTTTACTTTCACTTTAAATCTTGCTGCATCATAGATTTTCTTAGATATTTGGCATTTGAATAGGCTTCATTTGCAGAATTCAGATAGAATTTTAGGTTAGCCGTGGCCTCCCATTGAACACGTGTAGTTGTTTATAGACAGTTTCCCTGATAATGAACTATTCACGTATCACTAAAATAATAAATTTCTCAACTTAATATTTTAAATACATTTCTGAAAACTATTATGGTCGTTTTCCCTCGGTATTAATTGTAGGCCACGGGCGGTAATTACACCTCTGGGAAAAAATAATCTCTTTTGATGTATAAAATCTATTTCTGGGGCCACACCAAAAATAAAAAAAGGGTTGGGGTCAGCGGCCAAAAAAGGGGGGGAACTTTAACCCAACGGTTGTTTTTCAATTTTTTTCTTTTTCTTTTTTCTTTTTTCTGTTTTTTGTTTATTTATTTATTTATTTATTGATCAAGGGATCAGTCTATGTTAAAATAGCAGATTTTAGTGTACCTTTTCTCAAAAACGTAAGGGCATAAATTCATCAAATTATTAGCAGAAGTTTTCAAGATTGTTACCATCAAGGTGAGAGGTTTGTATTATTTCTTTATTAGAGTTGCAAAAATGTGGCC